TTTTGTTTATTTTATTTGACGCTTGTATTTTGTGATAATGTGGTTCTTCCCTAATTGAGCCAACTCATTCGTGCTGCAACCATAATATATCTGCAGCATGGCTCTACCACGTTAAATATATGTTTGATAACCTTATTATTTATAGGCGAAAGTTCGGCATGAACCGTGCTTGCCGTGAGGAATTTCCCGACGAGTACCTACACGAAGGAATATTTTCCTATGAAAATAAAAGTCACTGTTCTCTTTGATGCACCATGTTTACTTCCTATCGCCGGGCATTGAGTGTATTGACCTTCATTAAGTATGTATGGTTCGGTCACTATTATAATATTAAAGGGGGTGATTGGGTGATGTAACTTAAAAAACTTTAAGCAGCGACTTCTTTATTTTTATTACCCCGTAAAGTTTACCGCTAGACATTGGCAGATTTGCGATGTGGATCAACGATCGCAGTTCAACACGTATCCTTGACGCTGCTTCCCATTACCGTGGGTATTTTAAAACGACAAAAACACTGGGCGCTAATACTTTGCGTACCTCAGTTCTAAGCCACATGATTTACCTTAGCCCCAGCATTCATAAATTAGCACCGCCACATCACTTTGTTTATTAGCAACGCTTACATCGGTGCCGGCAGCTTTTGGTTCCCTTTGAGGTTTGTGCGTACATCTTTGTGTCTTTAAATTGTTTACGAAAACATTCATTTTCCAATGCTAATAAATTTATCTGCTTTATGCAGTTTTAAATATTCCTCGTGCACTGGCGATGTTAGAGAATTCACTAACTGATGTAATCTCGTGGATGTCGTAAGAGGAAAAATGATCACAGGGGTGGCAGAAGCGCCTCCCTGATAACAATTTAACAATAATAAAAAAATAATAAATATAAAATAATTACAAAAATCCCCTGTATGAGCTATTCAATGGGGGAGGCCTATATTTAACAGTAGACTTAATTAATGGGACTAAATAGAATTTTCTCTTATATAAATATAATTCTTCGGAACATTACCTACTTTTATTTCTTTTGCATTTAGGTTTGCTCACGATGTTTAAAAATTAGTAGTTCAAAATGAAGAGCAATTTACCATAAGAAGGTAGTTTATATTGCATTGTTATCCAGTTTTGAATATTTCAAGATTCAAGTCTTTGGCTCATCGAGAAGTTAATTTAGATTCAATTGCAAAATTTGTACCGAGTGACAGGAATAGAAGAGAACAGAGTGCGAACTGCAAGTTCAGAGTGGTGTGGTTTGAATCGGCTATTCGATTACTGTCAAAGCCTACTATCGAACCAAAGACTAGTATCGTACCACTCCTAGCACAAGTATTTTAAGCTAACCTAACGTTATTAACAAGAGTATTAGTTGAGAAGTGGTAGGCTATACGGTACGGTACGTTACGGTATTGGGTAGTACGCCCGATATTCTTTTTATAGAATAAGCATGACAAACGAGCACACAATCCATCTGATGGCAAGTGGATGCTGTGGACTATGGATATCTACATTTATCCTCGATCAAGAACCAAAACACAGATGCGTGGTCATCGCTGACACCTAAAGTGCAAATTCCTCGTTTCCAGTAAAAAAGGGTCTCCAGATCTCTACACACGCCATACGAAACATAGCGGTATTAAGCTGCTATTTTACGCTGGTATTCTATGAGAGCGTGGTCCTGCCCCGGTCGAGCCGACCCATTCGTGCTACAACCATAATTTAGCTGCAGCGTAGCTCTACCACTACTCTTTTACATGGTAGAGCCATGCTGCAGTTATATTAGTAGTATAGTTGTAGCACGAATGGGTCGGCTCGACCGGGGAAGGACCAACCTCTCACAGAATACCAGCGTGAAATAGTAGCTTGATGCTGCTGTGTTTCGTATGGTGAGTGTAGAGAACCGGAGACCCTTTTTTACTGGAAACGAGGCATTTCATCTTAGTCCTCACGGGTGACAACGCATCTGCATTTTGATTCGTAATCGAGGATAGATGTAGATGTCTATGGGCCACAGCAACCACTTACCATCAGGTGGACTGTGTGCTCGTTTGTCACCCTATCCTATAAAAAAAAACCACGTATATTATTATATATACGTATAATATTATAGTATTATGCGAAGGGAAGCAAAGCATGAACAAGAAGAATTTTGACTATGAATTGGATGCAAATAAGACTAGAGGTAAGCCTAAAAAAATATGGCTGCGTTGTATTAGTGATGATATGCGTAAGAAAGCAACGAGTGAAGAGATTACGGCTAATAGAGGAGAATGAAAGAGGAAAATATGCTCAAGTCAGAAGTAACACAGTCATTGACAGACGCACAGAAGATTATTTAAAAAAAAAAGATTTTGTACCTAGTATAACAGCAAACTTTTAAACAGCTAGTCAATATGTATTACATACCAGAGATTAGATACCTGCACTAAAATGTGATATTATAATAATTAGTCATACAAAATCGTTTTGGTCAGGCGGATATTGGACCTACGCTAATTTGCTGACTCGTCATCAGCTAGGGTGTCTCTATCGCATCTTGAGACACGACAGTTTAGTTATTGCAAGGTGATAAAATGTTTTGTTTATTTGTTATTGTGAAACATAGAAGAATTTTCTATAGTGGACGGGAAACAAAAGAGAGAAAATTTAAATGGATCAGATGTGTGAGGGCTATCAGAATTTTTACGTGATAAGCAAACAAATTTTAACGTGATAGAACCACGATGCAGATATATTATCGTTACAGCAAGAGTGGGTTGGCTCGACTGGGTACGGGCCACAACATCACAGAATACTAGATAAAACAACATCCTAGGTTTCTCTTAATTCTCAGAGAAACAACGCATCTCTATATAATACAAAATGTAGATACATTGATATTTTTAAGTTCAGGTGAACTGTTTGACCGTTTGTCACCTGCCTACCAACCTACCAACTTGATAGTCATTATTTTTGCTTCTGCACAATTATTTACTCTGGCCACAATTCAAACTCCAAGTAAGGTGTTCTGATCACTAAGGTATGCGGTTATTCGCAGTCCTTGAAAAGTAGATAGTATTTTATGCGACCCTAAAAAGAAGGCCTTGAAGGAGTTTTAATTCCTTAGTGCAAAGGTAGCGAGTACTTTTTTATACTATAATGATTTTTGTACATTTTAATATTATAATGAAGCAATAATAAATCATTACAAAATATATGTCATCAAAGTTAAGTAAAAATTGATGACAAAAATGTGTGTATTACTTTTTAATTTTAAATTTGCACGCCAATATTTGGCAAAATATGGTGAAGCGGAATCATTGTGGATTTGAAGAGGTTGAGGGAAGTATTAGCATATTGATATAATAATTTATTTTGTTTATTTTTAGTAACATAGAATTAAGGTTTACAATGTTCCATTAATTTATAGGCCTTATAGAATTCTCTGACAGTAATTAAGAATGAAAAATAAGTAATGAGTCTATTTTTTTTAAATAAAATACAACCTTATATTAGGGTTACACATATTATATCTTGTCCCAGTGTGTACCAAAATTTTAGGCACCGGCAATTAAATGGCATCATCAAAATGATTTTGGATTCGGCTCAGGACACTTGGATTTGCATCGCTGACAAATAAATTTATTCAGGTTACATCATAGCCTTGGTGTATAAGACCTAAGACCTAACAGAGCGAGGAAGTTAGATTTTTAGGTAGCTTATTGCTCGACCTAGTAGCTATATTTGTTGCATACAACATACTATTTTAGGAAGATTCATTCATTTTGTACATGTTATTTTAAGCGCATGATGTCCAACCAAACCACCGTATGTTATTGTCAAATAATCGTGATAGTATAATATTTAAGGTAATCCTCAAAAAATGTCCTCAAAAACCTCAATTCCCGAGAGAATTTTAGAACAAACAACTTATGTTCAACCTCGAAAATATCTTCTAAGATAAATATACTCTGTAATCTCTCGGTGGCCACTAGCCGTGGCCGCCACTTTATTTTTTCATAATATTTAAAAAAAGCTCGACTTTAGAAATGAAACTTGGAAGAGAATCTAGTTATTTTTATTAAATGTTTTTTATTTATTAAAATTAAAAATATTAAAACAAAAATAATATTTTAATAAAGTTTTAATAACAATTACTTTACAAGAGTTAACTTAGTTACACATCATAACCACATTCTAATTAAAAACGAAAAAAGAAAATTGAATGCAATAAGAAACGCGTTATTAGGAATACATAAACGTCACTTTTATCGCTTTTAGAGAGTCGTATAAGGCATTAAAAACGTAATTACACGACGTAATGGTATGTAAATAGGAATCTGAACGTATTTCTTTCCTGACACTATCGCATTTTAAAATGTCGATATGATTCGTCGATAAAGGACTCATGCAGATAACTGTAAAGCAGTGTTTTGTGATAATATCTTTATTAGAGTGGTCCGAGGAATTAAAAAGCCTGGGAACTGGGCATGAGATTGATGATCGTATTTCATATAATTCATTGAAATCATTATATTATATCATTATTTATTATAAAATAAATATTAAAAACATAATATATTCATTAATACGGTAGGTATTATTAATGTCCAAATATAGTTAATTTTTCACTGATTTTAGTAAGTAGAGCAGGCAGAGCTCAAAAATGAGCCAACGTGTTTGAGCTCAAGTTGTTATCATCTCCTGGATCAGTTTCCCTCTGTTGCCTCTGTAGACGAAAGATGAAACGCGTAGGTAGTAGATGGATGCAGCTGGTTCTGGACCGTAATTTGTGGCAATATATGGGAGAAGCTTATATTCAGTACCACTGCTGAACACAGGTTGATAGAAGAAGTCCACACTTGTGATGTTCTGAAGTGAATTTGTTATATACATGCAGGTAACACGGAGTATAACATGCTGCTTAACTGAGTTCGTGCTACAGTTAAGGGATTTCTTTACTCATGTGTTCGTGCGACAAAATAACAGTGCAAACTTAGTCATCAATTCAGAACCATAATTGTGATGAAACAAACCAGACTTATAATGAGGGAGCAACCGTATGTTTAAAGTAAGGTTATAGCTTATATACGTCCCACTACTGAGTACAGGCCTCCTCCCATTTCTGAGAGGATTTTAGGGCAACGAAATGTCCGCTACGCTGATCCTAATCCATGTTAGCGGATTTCACATGCCTTTGAATATTTTTTTATTTTTAGGTATCCAGATTACGTCATGAAGTTTTTCTTCGACCGCTTCACGTGGTTAACCAGCACTTAAAATTGCAATAAATAATATCATTCGTGTCAGCGAGCGCTTCGCCCTAAGCTACTGCTACATATATACCACGGTTCTGTTCCTCAGTAAAATATTTATTTAAAATCGTTTAGACTATTGACCCGTGACATATTTCTCACGTAGTTTTAAATCATTAGTTCACTATATTAATTGCAAATTTAAGACACAATCTAACTTTAAATTTAAAAGCAAATTATTTAATCATCATGTGATTCGTGATCCAATGAACAAACTCGGATTAAAGCAGAAAGAAAGGGTAAAGGCAGAAAGAGTTAATTACTGGGTGTAACCAACCGCAACTCGAGCAATTTCGACAGCACCAACGAGCTATCATTATCATTACCTCCGTAACATAACACTGACACATTTAAGGAGCGAACGCATTATTAATTGTATACTTTAGTATTAGGGATGCATAACTTAAATATATGTTATAGTTAACTTTTTCGTGGTTATCAAGTAAATACAGTTTGGTATGTACTTCGTTGTTGATGGGAAATAATGTTGCTATAGTTTCATTCTAATTTTAACCGGGTATTTTAATGTAACAAAACACACATTTTGATAAATAATTATGTTTCATGATTAATAAAAATCAAGGAGAAATATAAAATACCTCGTCTTCATTAGCTTGTCACAGTCCACTCTTGTATATAGACCGGAAATGGAAATGCTCGCTCGAAGTTTCGATCACATTATCAATGCGTCTCACACTTCTGACATTGCTTCCAATCTTGGCTACTTTAAATCCTGATTCCATAAGATTATCATAATGTCATCAATCGGACCTATGTCATTTTTTTGGTATTGACCATAGTCGTCTCTTTAAGTCACCCACGTAACAGAATAGGATGGTGCAACCTTTCACACCGCCACCATACATCACAGTTACCAATAATATGTTATTATTATCATTTAATAAAATAAGGGTGATAAAAGAGCACACAGTTCACCTGTTGATAAGTGAATGCTGTGGCTCATAGACATCTACATTTATCCTTGATTAAGAATCAAAATGCAGATGCGTTATCATCCCTGTGGACTTAGATTGTACGCCTCGTTTCTAGTAAAAAATGACTCCGATTCTCTATTCTCACCATACAAAACACAGCAGTATTAAGCTGCTATTTAACGCTGGTATTCTGTGAGAGCGTGGTCCTTCCCCGGTAGAGCCGACCAATTAGTACTACAACTAATAGCTGCAGCGTGGCTCTACCACGTATACAATTTGTCTTTACAATATCTTAGTTTCGTGTAGGTTTAGTAAGAGGCGGCACAAGGAAACAAATCACCAGACAGGCGGCTTCCTCATAACCATTACAAATTGAACAGCTGCTTTTGCTAACTCGTCTGCCAACAATGGCAAATATTACAAATATTTTCCTTATGAGGTAATCTAAGGGGAGGACTATAGACTTTGATAAACTATAATGATGAAGAACATCTTAGTCCGTTATTTTATTTCGTTACGAAGTCGATACAGCCATACCAACATTGTCTGCATTGACCTCTTTACGACACCGGAAACAAGTTCTCGATCTTTAACAATTTAGACGAAAAATTAACAGCGACCGAGATCAAAAGTCAATATTTACGGTTTAATTCTGTATGATACTTTTTGCTTACGTTCTGTTTTATTATGTACGTACATTTATAAAACTATTTACTTTTTAAAACGACTTAAAATTAAAAGCTTCAAGCTGTTTCAGTCGTTCACTATCAAACGTTCTATAAGGGAAAACGAAGGTATAGCAACCAGACATTACACTGGGTCTTGAGCGACACGGTCGATGACCTACTGCCATGTTTGACTGTCAGATAATAACCTTTTTAATGGTGGATTTCCCTCTGCGGCTCCTTACGATCCACCTGATAAAATCTAAGTGCTCCATTTTATATTTTAATACCAGCACTTTAAGACAACATGACATGTATTTCTTGCAACAAATGAGGCGCTTGATGCATAAATATGTTTACACAAGTGTATTTCAACTGTTGCACGAATGTGTTGCCTTGATCAGGGAAAAACTACGATCTCGCAAGATATTAGCGTAAATAACATTATTTATATAAAAATAGAATTTGTACGAATTAGTTCTAAGCACACAATACAAACAATATAACTTGAAAAATTTAATATAGTAATTCAATAAAGCTTTATACAGTGAGTTACGGAAACCTCCCAAAAATAGCTTCCCTTTATTCTGGTAAAGAGACGTATTCGCATCTTCCACTAAGTGGTAGGAATACTTTTCTACTTATAACGTCGGGGTCTGAGCCACTCTCTTACCTTTTTCTGTCGCCCTGTTGTGCTCGCACCATTTTTTTTATTAATTGGCTTTACGGCTTTGGGTGCTAGCCCTTCTGAGCCTGAAAGGTGCTTACACCATTGTGTTCTCGTCTGAAGAATAAAGAAACAGGAGGCTATGGACTGCACTCCACTTACCATCATCTGCAGTGTAAGTTCATTTGTCACTTATGTTTAAAAAAAAGACCTCAGGAGTTACAACGCATTTGCAAATTACTTCATTGTAACGAAATATTTTTTACTTTATCGATGATAGAGCTTTTAAGTGTTCATAGGCAAACGAGCAAACCTGATGGTAAGTGCATCAGATTCACTTGTTTTTCACTTTTGATTGTACAACAAATTAATTAAATTAACAGATATTCTATACTTTAAGTGAGCAATTTTGTGTGTATCATAATTATAAAAAGACTAACGATTGGGCTGAAATTTTGTATTTACCACGTACTTCTTAGGTAATTTGTGTTACTGATAATTATAACTTTGGTAAAAAGTCATCTGAAAAATGTTATTCCAATACCAATACATTAAGTTTAAGTTAATATTATTATTTCTTATTATTTCTAGTAACAATGAACATATTTTGTATGCTGAAGCATTCAAGGTTTTTTTTAGAGGATAAGGTGCAAACGAGCACACAGTTCACCTGAAGGTTAGTGGTTGCTGTGAGACTAAGATGGAATGGATCGTTTCCAGTAAGGGCCTCCGGTTCTCTACACTCACCATACGAGACACAGCAGCATTAAGCTGCTATTGTACGCTCGTGCAATAGGAGCTTAATGACCCGTTCGTGCTACAACTATACTACTAATATAACTGCAGCATGGCTCTACCACGTTTAAACATGTATTTTTTCTGAAATCTACGCTTAAGAAAACATCTTTAAAATTATTTAATATGGGTATTACTATATACATGTTAACAATACCTACAACGAGAAAGTAACTATCAAAATTATACGCTTCTGAAATGAAAGTTATCATCACATCTTTTTTTATAATTCAAAACAAGCACATAGCTCACAGCTCACCTGATGGCAGGTGGATAATGTGGCCAACAGAAATCTGCAGCAATCCTTGATTAAGAATCAAAATGCAGATGCGCTGTCATCCCTGAGGACTAAGATGGAGTGCCGCGTTTCCAGAAAATTGCTCACTGTTTCTCTACATTCACCTTACGAAACACAGCAGTATTAGGCTGCTATTTCACACTGGTATTCTGTGACAGCGTGGTCCTTCCTCAGTCTTGCCAACCTACTCGTGCTATAACCATAATATAGCTACAATCAAATTTATAAATAGGTTGGTAAAGAAACATAGCGACGTGAATATTATTTACATAATCACCCTGATGTCTTTGACATCTCACTTGAAAAGGAAACTTAGAAGGACAAGACTGATAAGAAAGGGGCAGCGTGGTGCAAACTGCTGGCGAGTTGAAAATCTGCTAACCGGATGTTGTGCAGATTGATATATCTGAGGTTATGGGGCCCTTGATAACTGTTTGCTTTTATAAGAACCGCTGATCTATAATTAAGGATAGATGTCAATAATTACGAATATGAGAATATTGAACAATATGTACAAAGGAACCAATTTTATTTTGCGACAGTAAACATTAGGTTAGGATATGGGTTGCAAAAATTAAAAAATCGTGGGTTTGAATCCGCCATTCGACTACTGTCGTAAAACACTTCTAACACAAGAATTAATTAATATATTATTATTAAGCTGACTGGAAGTAGTTAACTGGAATATCAATTTCTAATGTTAAAAGCGTTACTAGTTTTCTTTAAAAAAAATCTACCCCTGAGCTCATCATTGGGACGTTAATACTGTTGGCAACATACTCATCACGTTTGTAGAAGGTACCTATCGCAATGCTCCAGTTTGTGTTGATTACAGAGTTGAAACGTCTTTGAAATTTATTTTATTCCCTGAAGGAAATATACGTCAAGCACGTCACAAATCAGCACTAGTGACGTTTATTATTTTGTGATAATAAATTGTTTATTGCACTTTGTTCCGTAAATTATTATTTTAATATGGTAATACCAACTGTCCAACACATCGTTTTTAAATTATTTAATTTTTTTTTAATTTCAGGTCGCTGCTCTTAGCAGCCATCATATTAAGTAATTACTTAGCATGGACGGCCACAAGGCACCACCATCCACACAATGTAAGTACATTTATGTATTATATAATTTTAACCCAATTAATCAATGTTTTCTGCTTTTCTGAAAAAACGCTTTGTTAATAAAGTAAAGTAAGCCTACGTTAATTAGTCCCACTGCTGGGCACAGGCCTTCTCAAATTTCTAAGAGGGTTTTGAAGCGATCAACTGCCTTATAGCATCTCATAGGAATCGTAGGAGGCGTTAGTAAACTGTCGGGAACCTGAAACAGGACATGGGACAGCAGCATCTTCCTGATATCAACTCAAAATTATAAAAAATTGCGGTTGCCAACCCGCCATGGCAACTGTGGCAAAATACCCCCTACGAGGCAATCTATGGGAGAGGCCTAAGTTGTTCAGCGGTTAGATCTGTCACACAGTTAATCACGGACCTCCTCTCATTTCAAAAAGGGTCATGGACCAATCAGTCCACCACGTTTCAGTGCGTGTTGGCGGTCTTCACATGTTCTCGAAATATATTATACCTCAGACATGTACATTTCTTCACGATTTTCTCCTTCACCGTAAATACAAACAGCAATTAAACTCACAATTCACAATTTTATTAGTGCCGGCGGGATCGAACCCGGTTAACTCGCGTACTATGAACGTACGTCTTACTACTGGCCAGTCTCTCATTTCATTCTAATGGAGGAATCGATTGAGTATTTAACACCTGACATAAAGAAATGGTAACCCCGCCATCTATCGGACGACAAAAGATCTTTGTGGCATAAAAAAAGGGGGTGAGGAAGAACTTCGGGTTGTTGAAGAAAAAAAGATAAATAGTGTGATTATTGTTATATTTTATTCCTATACCATATACCCAGGGGGAAAAAGGGGTGGTAGATTATTTTACACCGCTATATCACGGTAAATGCCTAAATTTACGTATTCACTAAAGTATAGTTCATCATCATCATCATCATTACAACCCATCAAAGACCACTGCTGAGCATAGGTCTCCCCGTAGATTGCCTCATTAAGATATTTGCCATAGCTGCCACGCTTGGCAAGCTAGATGGCAATCGTAGTTTTTAATTTTCTAGTTGTTTTGCATTTTTCCTGGTTGGTATCCTTCTGTCGCCTCTTACATCAACCATGACGATATTGGGGAGTAGTTATTCTTACACCGCCACTACACGCCCGAAAACAAAGATCCAATAAAAATACGTGTGGCACTCGGTGACTGCCGCGGTAAAGCTATTACATAGCATTTTTTATCAACTTATGCAATTATAATTACTTATTTATTTTATTTATGCAGTTAAGTCTTTGATATTAAATTTTGAGCGTGGTGACCGATAAGAAAACAATTTTTTTTCTCTTATTGAATAAATGAGAAGTTAATATTGTTTACAATATTTTTAATATCTTACAATACATGTAGGTTATTCAGGAATTTTTATCATTGAGTTAGCAGCTAGTGTACACGCATACGTCTAGTCGCACGCACACATACACCGTGCCGAAGTCTGCCGAGTGCCGAAGTCTGTCGAACTGAAACGACGTTAGACGATGCACGGCTTTCAACGCCACACCTCCGTGCCCGTCGGAGTGGGGAGCGTGAGGTTTTTTCGTTACGGAATTTCTGTCCCCTATCTGTACGGAAATTCGGTCCCCGCGCTCAAGGCCCGCGATAGAAGCTATGCAATAGCTTAATAAATTTCAGAATTTAACAAGCTGGAAGACATAGCGCGAGGAAGCTAAAGACACGACATTATCTTGCGTAAAGTCGACGGAAAGTTGCAGGAAGACGGATGGTTATATAGTTAGAAGTAGCGGCACAGTGTAAAAGCGGCTAAACTGAGATAAGGATGTGCCCCGTACACAGATAAAATAATTTATCCAGTGTAGCAAAATAAGCTGATTTATTTATTTATTCTTTAAGGTTACTCCTTCATATAAATATAACTAAGTTAATAATGTGCAAATCGAAATTTTCTGCCGGTCCACCTGTACGCCTTAAACTTCCATATAATATTCGTTTAACCAACAATAAACATTATATGCATATAATTATTGTATGTTGAAATATAGAGGAGAGCCCACATTTATGATAAGTTTATCACTTATAGATTAATATCTTTATATTTTTGTTATATATTGTATCCAAACACAGTAATATTATTGGATAATCACCAGGCCTGTTCGCTAACTTTCAAAAATTAAAATTATAGTCGCTTTTTAGTACATTGCATCTTATATTTATGAACCGCTTATAAATATAGAAAAGTTAATAAGTTAATAAGTCATATGACGTAATGTACTACTAAGTGACTATTATTTAGATGTTAACGAAGTTAGTGAACAGGCCTGCAATATATAACAATAGTATAACGGTATATGGTCCGACCTATTTGCTTATTATGATAATACTTCATATTAAAAAGCTACTTAGATTTCTTTTTAATATAATATTTCAAATAAATTGGAACACCCCTAAGATAAACACAAACCATATTTCACAACAAACCAACCGTCCGCTACTATTGACCGTGCAGGCCTTGACTTTGACCGGCGCAGCGCCATCTACCGTCATCAAGCACGCACGCCGCTCGGTCAATTACTACCGAACAATGGTCTATTTAATATAGATGATTAGGCAATGTTCGTTCTCAACTCAATTCTCATTTGATCTTCCTAAACAATACAGAACTTAATTTAATGCTCTGTTTTAAAGCCGCAGGTCAAGAACGTCATAATGATACTCGTATCTTCATTGACCTTTGTCGTTTAAGTAACTCTTGGAAGCAACATAAAGAATTTTGTTGAAGCAACTAATCAGCGCGGCATTCAGACCCTATAAAGCCGTCATCGCTTTTAAATTTATCATCATCATCATTATAGTCCATCACAAGTCTCCAGCTGAGCATAGCCCCCCCCCCCTCAAGCAACTTCTGAGTCACCTGCAACCATCGACCTACCGCATGTGTTACCAAATCGTAGCTCCGTCTATTGGAGAGTCGCTCTACATTCCACTTACTGCTCCTCTCACCTGCTCTTTGCCACTATACTGATCTGAACTGAACCGATACCGATACTGATCTGAACCGACGTAGTCCAAGGGGACTACGTCAGTTACTCCTGGTCTACTGCGGACATCTTCACTACAGATTCTACCACGCAGGGAAATTACGAAATGTCTCCTTAATAGCTCGCAAGGACCTAATGCTTCCTTATACGGCCAGCAGTACCACGTCTCACTTCCGTATATCTACACTGGCAGGTTTAGATTAGAAGAAAAACTAAAAACAATTTTTGTAATTTAGTGAAGGGCCTACAGGGTACTTTCGATTTCATCGGAGCGATATCGATGTAAGTGCGCGTGGAAGGCGCAGCGTGAGATCATAGACAGGCATCATTACGTTATTCGAGACGCTGTGGTAGGGTTGAACAGCGTTTAGACATAAAAAAAAAAACTAAAAACAAAAAACATGTTTTTATTTTTATTCGGAATAAATTTTACATAAAATTTGTCTTTTTATGATTTGGGACGCGTTAATAAAAGACCGTGTTTGATCTGAGACTGTCTTTATTAACGCTTGGTATAATTTTGACCTTTGAGACTTTTGTACGGAATGTTGTTAAAATTTGAGTTTAAAATTTTCGAATAGAAGATTAATAATGTCATGTCGGTTTATTTTTTATACGTCTCTATACATATAGTACTGGCTGGTTTTAATTTATAAAATATTAAGAATTCTTAATTAATACACGTGTTTATTTTTAAATAATAATATATTTTAGTTAAGGTAACTACTGGTCTGGTACTGGACTATGAAGTATAAGAATAAAAAAATAATATTTTTTTAGTTTAGGTAACTACTGGTATAGTATTTGAGTTAGACTAAAGAAACTAGGAAGTATTTATTATCCCTACAAAAAATCTTTCAGTTATTTTATATTATAAATTTTCTTATAATAAAACAACTCGGTCCTACTTTAGTCCGCAATACGCATATATCTAGTTTTAGGAGAAATAGAATTGAAACAAAAAAGAGAAAAAACAAAACTATCCGTGCAATCTACAAAAAAATCTGGTTTAAACTAAAAATATAACAGCCCTAAGCGGATCCAATTGAAAAGCATGAGAACAGTCGTAAATCTAATCAGAACAGGCGCCGCAAATGATGGGGGCGTTAGCATCTCGTCACCGACTGCCCGTAGTTACCAAAAGCACTATTTTGGGAGGCACAATCACTTTAGGCATTCCACAGATAGACCTATAACATGCCAAACAATTTATGAGGTTATTGTCTCACGGAACACATATAAACTAAGATGTTTTAGTAATTAACTTTATGAAGTTTCAACTAGCCGAAGATATATTTCATCATTCACTTAAATTTTCTATTTTTGTCGACAGTTTCCCGCGTAGTGTCGATGTATTTAATTTGTCGTTTGTAAATTGATTTATGAAAAAAATATCTGATATAAGTTGATATGAGTTGATGATAGAGATATAAGTTGGAATCTGAATTGAAGTTTAACTTTGATGTTAAAAATCACAAGCCCGTTAGTTAGATAGTATTTCATTCACCACATGTAATTATTATATTAGTCTTTGATTTGAATGTATCATATTTTGTCTGTGTTGCTTGACACCCTATCTTAGCCCAACGGTTCAGGATTGACGGGATATTAGTAACGGTCGAAACTGTTGTTTTTTTTTTCGTGGTAAGTCAAGCTACAGCTTTTTTATGGCAGCATGCATGGGTGGGCTCTACCACGCTCTCACAGAATACGAGCGTAAAATAGCACCTAACGCTGCTGTGTTTCGTATGGTGAGTGTTGAGAACTGAATTCCCTTTTTACTGGACACGAGGCATTCCATCTTAGTCCTCAGGAATGACAACGGATGGGATTCGATGTAAATGTCTAGGGGCCACGGCATCTACTTACCAACCGGTAGACTGTGTCACTCTTATTCTATAGAATTGTTGCAGATTAACGTCAATTAATAACTAATTAGCCATGTAATGGCGACGTAAGAAAACCCAC